TGATTTCTCCTACAACATCAGAGTGCAGCGCCACATTAAATACGCACTACAATGACAATAGTTTAAAGCGATTTGAAGCATGTTTTATTTGGGGGGGGGGCAGAGCTTTGTGACGTCATATTTGAGGGGGGTTCTGACTTTTTGTGACGCCGTGTGACAAGGGGGGGGTCAAAAATCGTCCAAAATCGCATGACGTCATGTATGGACGGCCCCTAAATTATGGGCGGCGGGGAGGAAAACTGCGTCTTATGATCAGCCTCGTCAGTAAACGGGTCGGTTCGATAGCGCGGCACGCCAACCACTGCGCCACCGCTCCCCCCCATAATGCACCGCGGCAATCCTAGCCTTTACCCATAACCCTCCAGCGCAACGTATAACGAGTTCGCGTTGTGCGTTATTGCCCTTTGCGTTGAGCGTGGAGTGGGGGGCAGAGTTTGTATGGAGCCCTCTTGCCCACAACGCCTCGGTAAATCCATGAGCAGGCGCGTGTTTTTCGACAATGCCGACCTCCGCATGCCGATGAGACCCGATAGAGATCGAAACCCGCCCCGAGTGTTGCTCGCTTAAACGCGTGCCCTTGCCAAACACCTTTGCTGGGTAGTAATAGCCCCGTGGCAGGCAGGCAGGCAGGCCGACAGGCCGATCCACTCAGGTCCCCCCAACACAGACTGCGCGGCTGCGTTGGGTGGGACTGGAGCGGTCACTGGGGAGCGATGCGGGGCATCCCCCGAAGGAGCGCGGTGGGAAGGGCTTGGGGTTGGTTCTCGGTATAGCGCGCAGCCCCGACAGCCCCCAGGTGTTTCTACCTGGGCATCATTCACCCTCCCTCATTGTTCTCTTTCGTGCGAAGCGCGGTGAAGCCCCCCCCCCCCCCCCCCCCCGTGTCGGCGTCTGTGCACACCTGCGCTGATAGAGTACTCGGAATACTGAGTCACCTGGTACGTGAGTGAGCGTGCGTGCGGGGAGCGGTGGTGCTGCGCTTAGCGCGCTGCGCCACAAACAAACCCGGCGTCTCGAGGTCGATTGTCGCTTCACGGATGCCAACAACACCAGTGACGATTATGTTGAACCGGTGCTGGGCCTCCCCTAGGTCGACTCGGCCTCAAATGTATACCTGGTGTTGTGCGTAAACATCACCAGGCATACATATACATACCACGAGGGAGACAAAAGCAGCCGGGCGTGGTGCTGGCCACTCACCCCAATCGTGTGCCGTGCCGACCTTCAAAGGTGCTACTCGCTAACAGCACTTGCCCCGACAGTCTGTTAACGGTTATATGGGGGACCTTTGTCTTTGCGAGTGGCGTGTGGGGAGTTGGGACTGGCAAAACAACCCTCACCTCCTCGGCGGTTGCCAATCGGTGACAACGCTGAGGTGGTTATAGACAATGCCACTCGGGGAAGAGCGGGGGGGGGGTAGAAGGCCGAGGCCAGGCAGCTGCTACCCTCACGGCGCTCGCAGCTGCCACAGTGGCCAACGAGGTTCTGTGGACGGGTGCGAGGGGCTGGTGACCCCCGCCACCTTCAATTCAATTCCCAACGATGTGAAGATCAAACTCGGCCCTCCTTGGGTGGCAGGCGCCTATGACGTCCCCTGTTCACCCCCCTCCACCCGTTTGGCAGAGCCCCCCCCCCTCAACCAGTATATATACGGGGTAGTATATCTTGGAATCTCTCATTTACTTGATACAGCTATCGTGCTGTGACGGTTCCACCTGAAGACGGAAGCTTGTGTTGCCTCCGAAACGTCGTGATTTTTATTTTATTTTAATTTTACTTTTATTAATTTAATTTTTTACCTACGTGACTTTACCGAAAAAACCTAAGAATATGAATCCTTGCAGTCACGAAAGCTTCAAATCTAGAACCAAGAGAATAAACCGCTGAAGGTTGGCCACGCGCAATGTCCGAACGCTCGCTGCTGAGGAAATAGGAATTGCCTCAGCAGCTCCCGATCACAAATCACTCCCTAATTCCATCAAAACGTAACTTGCAGCGCCTATTACCGAATGGGAAAGAGCGGTGACCCGATCTCCGACCCCCTAAGAAAAGGCCTGCAGGTTTGCTGAGCATTTCTGTGAAGCCTTGGGGGTGTGGGGAAATCCCTCAGCCCAAAAAAGATCAATGGACAAGGTGGGGTTGACCCTGCTCTTGTGCCTCAAATAATGAAGGAAGTAGCCACCCCCTGTGAGTGACCTGCTGATGTGCCATCTGTTGAGGAAGTACGAGGGGCAATCCGGAGCCTGAGACCAGGTAAAGGTGCCGGGTAGAGGCGACCTCCCAAGCGAACTGCAGAGGTAAGCTGGCGATTTTGTAGAGGCTGCCCTACATGACTACAGGACGGGTTTCGCAAGATTGGAAGGATGCCCCGGTGGTCCCCCTCTGTAACACGAGGCACCGTATACTCATTGTAACAAATATCGGGACAGCTTCCTCTTCAGTGAGCAGGGAAAAGTTTTGGCATGGATTATTCAACATCGCCCCCCTTGCCAGGCAGCACGCTGACAGGTTTGCAGAGCCCCAATGTGATTTCAGTACTGCACGGACACCATATTCTCTGTCCGTCTGCTACGCAGAGGGATAGATAATTTCACCAGGACCTACATGTCTGCTTTATTGACCTGGTCAAGGTCTATGATACCATCAACGCGCAAGGGCTCCAAGTTATTCGTTGTGAATCTTGATTTGAAGCTTTCGTGACTGCAGTAATCCATACTCTTTGGTTCTTTCGGTAAAGTCACGTAGGTAGATAAATAAATTAAAACAAAAATAATATATCACGACGTTTCGATCGCAACACGGGCGGTCGTCCTCAGGCGGAAAATATAATCCAGCAGTGGAACTGCTGAACCAGCGAGAAAGCTGTTACAACAAGAGGTTATTTCTTATTGTTCTACCTACGTGACATTACCGAAAGAACCAAATAATATTATTCGGTGTGCTTTCGGAGTCCCTGATCATTTGATCACAATCTTGAAGGACCTTCATAACGGTGGACAGTCCCGGGCAAAGCTGCGTGACCAGGAGTCAGAGCCATTCGCTGTTCACCTTGGGGTGCGACAGGGATGTCATCTGTGCAAACATCAGCACCGGGGAGGCAAAGGCGGACGGGCGCAGTGTTGGCCACCAACTTCATCATTTGCCGCGCCGGCCTTGATAGGTGCTTGCTAACAGCACTCCCACCAACAGCCTGTTAAATGCTATACGGGGGCCTTTGTGCACAAACCTTTGCTGAGCTAAGCACGCGCCGGGCTCCAGCTGAGGTAGGGTTCGGGTAGAGTCAGTAGAGTTCGGGTTCTAGAGTTCAGATTGGGTCCAAAGTGAGGGCTCATGCAGCAGCTATGTTCAGTGTTTTTGGGTTAGGGTCTGGACTAGAGCTCGGGATAGGATTCGAGTTAGATGTATGATTTAGCGTTAGGTTCATGGTTAGGGCTCGGTTCAATGTTTTGGCTATGGTTATAATTATGGTTATGGCTAGGGGTTCGAGCGATGCTAGAAGTATGGTTAGAGGTTCGGGCTATTACTAAGGTTATGTCTAGGGGTCTGGCTATTGATATGGTTATGGTCCGAGGTTCAAGCTATTGCTAGAGTTATGGCTAGGGGTCTGGTTATCTTCGGTTTATGGTTAGCCTAGAGCCTTGGTTGGGGTTAGAGATGGACACATGGTTGACGTCAGGCTCGAGCGGTTCAAAACAAACAACAAATGCGGCCGGCGCACAGCACAGTTGTGGGACTTCCCCCGGCGTTTTGCTGCAGTCGGCTCTCAGGAGTGAGGCAATCTCTCCCCATCTCTCCCTCCCTCCCACTCACCAGCCACAGCGACGGTGGGGTAATTTTAGAACACGAAGGGGATTGACACCGCGCCTCGCGCAACTGGAACGTAAGGCCACGCGCGCGCTCTCGGCTCGCGTCCGATCTACGCAGCACCACAGAGGGCCGGACGGATGGGCGTTAGGCGATTATCAATCACGGCAAGCCCCATTAGCAGCAACAACAGCAACAACAGCAGCAGCAACAACAGCAGCAACAACAGCAACAACAACAGCAGAACGTGGAACCGAGATGAAAAGTGCGCATTGAAGCGCGGAGCGGCTGCGTGTTTGGGGATTGCATCGAGAGAGGGAGACGTGAACACGTGGATGTGGGAACGCACTTGGGAGCGGTGAAGTGGGGCTTGAAAGGGACCCGTCGCTACCACAAGGGGACTGCGGTCTAGAGAAACAGCGGAGCGACAGCCGAGGAATGCAACGCAATCGAGAGAACGTCGGCCGGAGGAGATGGAGCGCTTCAACCAGCTCGCGTTGCAGGTGCTGGGTCGGTCGTTCCATCGCAGGATCGTGAAATCGCAACGGCTTGGGGGGGATGCCTTCGTCCAGCGGTGGATTGTACCAAGACTATGGTATGTACGTGTGCTGACCTTCTTTCGCACCGTACGTAGCCAGCCGTGCTAATTGGAGGTGCGGGGGGAAGAAAAACCCATTAAACACAAAACGCACTTCGAAAGAAATACGTTTTAAATGTTGAACTATATTTGGCGATCTCTAATTGGAATTCGATCACCGTGCACACTACGCACACTTACAGGTGTATACGTTCGAGTGATCGAGTTTGTATTTAATTTACCCCCCACACACACCCCCCACCAATTGTAAATTCCATCCATATCAGTGCCCCCCCCCTCTCCGTTTCATTCGTCCGTCAATGTTCGCGTCCACTGCCCCACGCGGTGGCGCCCGTCAGCCATCCCCGCCACGTGCCAGGCCCCGAGTGCCAGGCGCGCGTGCCACCCCCCCCAGCCTCACCCACCCCTCTCGACGAAGCGAGCCCGCCACGGGGCTGACGTGGGCGCAGAGCGAGCTGATGTCACGGAGGGGAATCCCTCCGTTTTCCGGGAAATGGGAGGGGTTTAGTGGGGGGGCCTTGTTCAAGGCGGAGTTGCGTCGTGGGGGGGGCGTCTGGATGTTGTATAAAACCAGCGCGCGTGTTGACGGTGACAGTGACGCTCATCGTCGTCAAGTCGTGCGCGTGCCGGTTGCGCGCGCGCGATTATTCCAACTGGTGACAACACCGGCGCAAAGACGTCGCCTCCTCGTGCTGCCGCGATGGCCGGTGAGTAACGGGGAGTTCGCGTCCCATCCCCTCTCCTGCACGTTGCCTGCCGTGGCAGGTCCCACGCGTTGTGATTTTGGGTGACGGAACTGTGGATTCGAGCCGAGGGAGGGCAACGACGATGCCGCCACGGGCCAGATTGCGTTGTGACATCATCGTCGAGCCGTGTGAGATTGGACGGACTTGAGCGCTTTCATGCAGCAGTGGATAGAGCATGCATGGTTTTTTTTATTTTTTTTATCTCTAACTCGCGGTTGCTGAGCATGTTTCCTGTCGTTCCAAGAACGCAAAGCCGTCCGGCGTCTAATAGCGCCACGAAATGAGTTATCTCGAAGGGGCAATCCGCGTGCGCTTTTGAGTGTTTTTTTTGCGAGATGGCACAACGAAGAAATTGTGGAGGGGGGGGGGAAGAGGCGACTTAAGATGCAAGGAACACATCAGGGGGCGTGCTGTGTGACCCACGTTGTTGTTGGCGGTGGTCGAACACAACGTGGGGTAGGTAGCCACGGTGTTTGTCGCGGTTCAAGTTTATTTATTTGTTATAGCCCTGTGAGCCATTCGGCTCTTGAATCGGGTGCAACCGCAACAAACAAAAAACATGAACAAGAAAACATCTTGAAGTGACTATGTGACTAAGAAACAGAAAATCCAAGAAAAGACAGCAAAATATTGCAGAAAAAGCACCGTAAACCAACGCTGTGTGCACAAATCCCAGTGGGATGCAAGTCAAACAACAACAACAATCACAAGACAACTTAGATTAAGGCATCAGTCTAACTCCGTACTACAACAAACAAACATGGTCAAACCAAAAAACTTTTTCGAAATCACCAAAATAAAGCCATGAAAGCAATGAAACAGTGATCATAGGAACTGTGACGGAATTTTCACAATAAACGACAAACAACATGAACCACCAGAACCCTGCAGCCATAGTGGCGATAGAAGAGATACGAGGAGGCATGGAAGCTGCTGTTCGTTGTGCAGGACGTGTGTTGTGGCTGTATGAGATAGAATGTTGGATGGTTGCCAAGGCGTGGGTTTGTCTCTCTAACTCCGGATAGCCAACAGTTCACGCATAAGGCCGTGTAATGGAGCCTTCTTCCCATCTCCTCTCTGGCAGAAACATTACCAACAACAACATCACCACCATCAGAATCATCATCATCAATTCCGCATTTGGCGATTCCGCGTTGGCAGCGGTGCGCAAGCGAGCACAACTAATAATATCTTGAGACGTTCGCATTATTGATATTATGTTCTTGAATTGTTTGATGACGGCAGCGATTGCAGCAGCAGCAGCAGCGATGTTTTGGTTCAGGGTCGCGATGCCATTGTCGTGGTTCTTGCTTGCTGCTCGCCACGACGAGATGGCTTCAGCAGCAGAGAGAGAGAGTTCGTGTGGCTTCTTCTTGGTTCTTTCGGTAAAGTCACGTAGAATGGAAATAATAAAATAATAAAAATAAAACATAATAAAATAATATTTGATTATTATATTATTTTATTATATTATTTTATGATGTTTTATTTTTATTATTTTATTATTTCCATTCTACGTGACTTTACCGAAGAACCAAGAAGATGAATCCCTGCAGTCACGAAAGCTTTAAATCGAAATTTTATGTTTATTTTTATTATTTTATTATTTCCCTTCTACGTGACTTTACCGAAAGAACCAAGAAGATGAATCCCTGCAGTCACGAAAGCTTTAAATATAAATATTTAATTATGTTGTAATTTTATTATTTTATTATTTCCCTTCTACGTGACTTTACCGAAAGAACCAAGAAGATGAATCCCTGCAGTCACGAAAGCTTTAAATATAAATATTTAATTATGTTGTAATTTTATTATTTCCCTTCTACGTGACTTTACCGAAAGAACCAAGAAGATGAATCCCTGCAGTCACGAAAGCTTTAAATCGAAATTTTATGTTTATTTTTATTATTTTATTATTTCCCTTCTACGTGACTTTACCGAAAGAACCAAGAAGATGAATCCCTGCAGTCACGAAAGCTTTAAATCGAAATTTTATGTTTATTTTTATTATTTTATTATTTCCCTTCTACGTGATGACTTTACCGAAAGAACCAAGAAGATGAATCCCTGCAGTCACGAAAGCTTTACATAGAAATTCGTGTGGCTTGTTTCCTCCTCCTCCGTTGAAGGAACGCAGACCACCACAGTGGGCTGTGAGTCTATCCAAGGGGCCGATGTTTGGAGGCTGCCAGGACAGCCCTCGTGGGCCACGTGCTCACACCGTGAGCTGTGGAGCAGCTGCGGGAAGCTGGTGCAGGGTGACACGTGAGGCTGAACAGCAACCAGGAGACCCGCAATGACTTCTCAACCCTGGACTTGCGAAGCTCTTATCGAACACCTGCTCAACCACCAGGGGCTGGGCTTGGGGGGCGGTTACGAGGGGGGGGGGGGGGCAGCAAATGGGATTATTGTCCAGAAGCCGAGGCTAAACTCCATCGGGTCCCACGGAAACAAAACACGATGTTTGTCCTCATGAAAGACGATGAAAGCTGTGTTTACACGATGAGTGTTTCATTTGGACCATCCTCGAGTGTATGGAGCTATTGCAGGGCCTTAATGTTTACCATGTCCACGTATGGACAATGGAAGGTTCCCCGTTTATAAAACCATACGCTGATGTTTCTGTGTGTGCGAGCGTGGGGGCCGGCAGCGTGCTGCCGCTAGGTACTCGGTGACCGAGTTCGATTTCCGCTCACGGCCACCAACATCGGTCACGATTATCTGAACCAGGTCGTGGGCCTCCCCTAGATAGACTTAGCCTCAAATAAGTCCCAGATGCGGCACGTCCGCCCGCCTTTTTCTCCCACATGGGAGACAAAGGCAGCCGGGTGCTGTCCTTGCCACACTTTCCTCCTCGTGTTTCTCAGTTTAATTTATTAGGTACTGTATAGCCCTGTGAGCCATTGGGCTCTTTAATCGGGTGCAACCGCAACAAACAAAAAACAAATACATGAACAAGAAAAATCTTAAAGTGACTATGTGACTATGTGCAAACAGAAAATCCAAGAAAAGACAGCAAAATATTGCAGAAAAAAGCGCCGTACACCAACGCTGTGTGCAAAAATCCCAGTGGGATGCAAGTCAAACAACAACAACCACAAGACAACTTAGTTTAAGGCCATCAGTCTAACTCCGTTCTACAACAAACAAAAACGTTTCGATGTGTGCCGTGCCAGCCTCCATAGGTCCTCCGTAACAGCATTTTGCCCCAACAGTCTGTTAAGGCTACACAGAGGGTCTTTGTGTGTGCGCCATAACAGGTTGTTGGGAGGGTGGGCCTGCCCTGGTGTCTTGAGAGCAAAGATTCCTAACTCCAAACTTGCTCGCCCCAGTCTCTCTCGTGTTCCCGTCGGGACGTTGAGTTGGCCGTGTTCGAGTCGCGGTTGTGTTGAGTCCAAGGGCGGGCGGCCCGTCCGTATAGGACTATAGGCGAACTACCATAAGGCGGTTGCCTCGTGCGCCAAGCTAAGTGGGGCGCCAAATTCGTGGGAAAAATACAAATAAAAAACATACAAATAAAATAACGAAGATGTCATTATTTCAATTATCGAGGGAAAATTAATTATAATTCATTTAAATTTCGATTTAAAGCTTTCGTGACTGCAGGGATTCATCTTCTTGGTTCTTTCGGTAAAGTCACGTAGCTGGAAAAAAAACCATAATAAAATAATTATCACGACGTTTCGGCCACAACGCAAGCAGCCGTCCATTCTACGTGCCTTTACCGAAAGAACCAAGAAGATATAATTCATTTCTCAACATTTCTGAGAATGTATTGGTTGGACGGACGGACAATCCGGCTAAGTATGCCTCTGCTTTAAAAAAATAATACGAATAAAAAACATTACACCGAAAATAGAGGCAAAATGTTTCCCAGTTAATAATTCTCGTCTCCCATCTTCTTGTTGTATTTGCCTCCGTACAGTTTGCCGTTCTCTATGCGCTATGTTCGTGATGTCCCCCTGTGTGTCCCCTCGCTTTGTGTTTCACCCCTTTTCCACCTGATGATGATCGCTTGTGTTGCGTTGGAAACGTCGGGATTTATTTGATTGTATTTTATTTAGTTTTATTTTATTTCTACATACGTGACTTTACCGAAAAAAAACAATGAGTGTTTCCCAGTTACCTAGAAGCTCAGCCTAGATCTGACCTTGGGGGTTGGGGGGTTTGGGGGTCACCGAGTGCGTGGTTCTCCCTAGGGTCCTCCCTGCCACTTGCTGGCATCTAGTCTGAGGGCCGCCCCTGGTTAAGTCGCTTAGTGTCTGTGGAGTCGGAGCAAGAACTCGACTCGTTCGAAAAAAACTAAAATCCACTTTTTTTGGTTCTCAAATTGTGTTAGAATATATAGGGCAGCTTTTTGTGTCGTTTTCCAAAATGCAGGCGTTTGTGAAAGTTAAAAAAGCAATCTTGAGGGGTTACATATACAGCAGCGTTCTTTACGAAACTACTTATACTGTAGACGAAAATATTTCCAACCGATTATATCGGGAGTTCGTAGACGTGGGAGGAAACCAACGAGTACGAGTTTGGAAGTGAGAGGTTGGGGGGGTGCATCAACACTCGTCTACCCCACACAGATGCCACAGATGGAGATTAGTTCACACACTCTCGCCGTAACCGCAGACTTCCTTGCAGTCCAGGGTTCGTCGACTTCCTCCTCGACTCCCACGAGGAAGGGAGTTTCTCCCTCTCTCTCTGGCGTCCTGTGCTATGTTGCCATCATAACAATCAGAAGGTCATGGTCGTGACGGCCGACTGCGATCGGCTATTGGAGCTGCAACTCAGATGCTGCTTATCTGTGAGGTGCTCAACTCCGAAACTCCAATTGGCGAGGTTGGCTTACGCACGGTGCGAAAGAAGTCCAACATACATTTTTATTTAAAGCTTCCGTGACTGCAGGGATTAATATTCTTGGTTCTTTCGGTAAAGTCACGTAGAAGGGGAATAATAAAATAATAAAA